ATGAGGGGCGTATTAGGGCGACTTGGGCACGTCATCCCGCTTCTTTTGTTTTCTTTCCGTCGACGACGAGACTTTGCCATAACGTTGTGCCAGGTGTTTTCTAGCAGTTTTGTCCAGCAGTTGGTGGAAAGCGGAGCGGGCTGGAGGCGCCAAATCCAGCCTCTCGACACTGTCATTCTCAGCGAACAAGACTGTGTGACTAGAGACTAGTTCTGAAGTTTTTGACACTTTTTGAGTTCACGTAGCGTAATCTCACGATCAGAGTAAAATATTTCCATTAAGTCCGCTTATTTGGCCACGTTCATGTTTGTGCAAATCCAAGGAACCACGCATTGGGAGAGTGCGCCAAAGGAAAGGATGGGAATTGAATGATTCAACCCGCTAGCGAATGGCAAGACTCTGGTCCCCGTGAATCGCGGATTCTCCCACTTCGCAGCTGAGCGAAGTTCCCATATAATCCTTCAGCGCGCACTCTTCCGATTCGCGTATCCTACTGATTTGTGGATTCGCATCAGGGCACGTCGTACGTTGGGAATTCCCCAGCGAAGAGGGAGGGGAGAGGAGTGGGGGCGGGGGGGGGTGTTGTTTCAGCTATCTCGTTGGAAGAAGGGGGTAAGTATTTGTCCTTCCTACGACTATATTTTTGTATTGTCTGACTTTTTTCGAGTTTCTTCTCTTTTTACGTGCGGCTATAACCCCTCCCCTCTCGGCGGTAACAGTAGTTTCCTCGAAAAAGTGGTAGAAAATTGAGAGAATTCTGGTATTATAGGTGATGAGTAATGGGGATTCTGTCATAGTGCGAAGTTTTGAGATGCCAGAGGTAGTAGTTTGCCAGATTTTCCCCCAACGGCGCGGAGTGCTTGATTTACATCACCCAATCGCACAGTATACGTGGTTTAGAGAAGAGGGGCGTTAGTTGGCAGCTGATCAGTATGATTTGATAGCTGTAGGATTCTATTGCGATGTTTAGGAGCGTAAGTTTTGAAAAGAACCACTTTCTGAAGCCCAGCCGGGAATCTCAGTCTAGATGTTTCCCTCATTTGACGGAAAGATCTCTGCACCCCACTGTAGTTCTCGCAGAGGGGTTCTGAAGGTAGCATTAATCAGCACAGGGATCGGATCAAATTGATTGTTGCGGAATAACGCTCTAGACCTCATTAGTGGCTTCTGTTAGTTGAGGGCTAAAAGTGTATAAAATTAATGGTGTGATATTGTTATATTATACTAAGACTTGCCCGTCGTTGTAGACGATATTCCGAACGCGCATGGATTTGTGACCGGCATACGTGCGTTAACGAAAGTCGATCCCTCACGTATTCTCCAATGGAAAAGGTACGCGTCGTGACCATGCAATGCGGCCATCAAACAACGAACCAATCGTTCGCTATTGATCAGTATTAGTTCGTCAGTTCTTTACAATGCCAGATTGGAGTCTTTCCGAGCAGACCACGCTTGGGAGGTTCTGAGAGACCCTAAATACCTGTTAGTGTCAGTGAGCATCAGAATTTTCGTCAGTAATCTAAGAAATGTTTTTCGGCTTGGTGGGGCCGTGTGAACAGCAACCTGTGAATTCCTGAAAGTCCGCGTTCAACTTCATGATCGGATCGATTGGATCGCGCGACTCGGAGCGCTTCACCGCTAAGGCACTGTTCACAGTCTGCGACCCAGCGTTTCTCTAGAAAGAAGCGGTTCGGCGAAAAGCTTTCGATACGTATCGATTGGCGGTTGGGCGAAGAGTCTGGCGGTTGGGCGAAACGGTTTTGATACGTATCGACGGGCGGTTCGGCGGCGGTTGGGCGAAAAACGCTAGCTCGACCGCCCTGGCGTTTTTCTCTAGGGCGGAGCCAGCGAAATCGATACGCATCTATTGCTTTTCGCCGAACCGCGGCGGCGTTTCTCCAGAGCGGTTGGCGATTCTCCGATCATACGTATTTATTGCTTTTCGCCGAACCGCTGTTTCGTCAAGGTCGCAGACTGTGAACAATGCCTAAATGGTGCACCGCCACAACGGCACACTTCAAATTGGTGCTGTGCGGACGCGGCCAACCGAACTGTGCCGTTGCGGGGTGCATCGCTTGACGGTAGAGCCCTGTCCTGGTCGCTCAATCCAATCGAGCGATCCGGTCGCGATGTATGAGCGCCGTCTAACACGTGGTTCGCTTGTACTATTTCAGAGCCTCACACGGGTTTATGGGATTCATTTGGTGAGTCTCACAGTTAACGTGAACTATCAAAAGGAACTAGCCCAGGGGACACCTCTCCCTTTCTTCAGTCGAACAGCGCTTGTTTTTCTGTATAAACTTCTGAGTAGAATCTTCCGTTCTTACTCAGCACCTGAAACCCTTCCTATTGGAATTGTAGGCTTCTTGTAGTACCGTGTGAGGAGGGTTAGTGAGCACTTCGATAGGACTCGCCATGACTCCTTCCTCTCGCTGAGTACTGGTGGCAGAATGTGAAAAACTGACGAACATAGGTACCTAGCGGCTGTGAGCCGGTAAAAGTGAACAGTTGGTTCGGGCCATTGTTGCAGGCTCTTGGCGCGAAGCTCACAAGCCGTCTCATGGAAAACCCCCGACGATCGAGGATATTTCTGGATTTTCAGATTCTACTGGTTTCAGGATGAGGCTTTCATTTTATTCATTTAGCATAGCCACTATATTCTAGGTCGCGAAGTCGTGATCGTAAGAAGCGTAAGCGCAGTTCTAGCCGCGACAGGAAACGTAGTTCGAGCCGAGATCGTCGTCGTCGTCGTAGTCGATCGAAGTCTCGTGATCGTGATCGTAAGCGCAGTCGAAGCAGGGATCGCAAAAGGGAAAGAAGCAGATCACGCGAAAGGAGACGTTCGAGGTATGTCGTTTTATGGAGCTTAAACGCAAAAGGCACGATAAATCCCCAAGACATGTAGGATATTACATCTAGCAG